CCTGGATATACATCAACACACCACCAACACACCACCTTGACATACATCAACACACCACCAACATATTATCCTGATGGACTCTAGACATCCATCAACGCACCACCAACATGTTATCCTGGACATCCATCAACGCACCACCAACACACCACCTTGACATACATCAACATACCACCAACATCTTATACTGACGGACTCGAGACATCCATCAACACACCACCAACATCTTATACTGATGGACTCTAGACATCCATCAACACACCACCAACATCCTATACTGAAAGCCTCAAGACAGCCATCAACACATAACCAACATGTTATACTGGACAACAATGAACATACCACCAACATGTTATACTGAAAGCCTCCAGACATACATCAACATACCACCAACATGTTATACTGATGGACTCTAGACATCCATCAACACACCACCAACATGTTACACTGAAAGCCTCAAGACAGCCATCAACACATAACCAACATGTTATACTGGACATCAATGAACACACCACCAACATGTTATACTGAAAGCCTCTAGACCGCCATCAACACATAACAAACATGTTATACTGAAAGCTTCTAGACACCCATCAACACACCACCACGATTGATTATCTTTCCACCCCTGCATGGTAGAACTTGACGTACTTCCTCTTCTCTTCACTGTCCAAGGCTGCCAAAATAGTTGTTCAGGGTCACAGTGTACTTACAAACTGCCTGAACCCAGAGGACAACCCCAATCTGTAATTATGTTGACCATTAACGTGATGACTCACTGGGGGACATGAGCTGCTGGCACAACTTCAGTGCCATCGGAACCATCCGGCAGTATGGCTGAATAGCGCAGTGTTTAGGTGAAGCCGCGTCTGCCTTGTACAACACGAGGCCCTGGGAGACTGCTCATGTTTGTGGCGGATGATCGTGCGGCTCTGACATTGTGGGTAGTGTGGGTTTCACTTAAATTTGTGTGGGTGTGTGTTCTAGAGAGATGTCATCATGTTTGATAAGTTGTTGTTCTGATATAGAAAGTATGCAAGTCTATTGGGTTGTCGGCAGCCATTGGTATATACATCGATGCTCAGTCTATCGATAGATTGATGTTTTCCTATTCAAGGGTTTTTTGTTGAAAGGAACGTCAATTGTGAGGTTTTGTTTGTTTGTTGTTTAACGCGATCCTCGGCAATATTCTAGCTATATGACGAAGATCTGAAAAAAATCGAGTCTAAACCAGAGAATCCAGTGATTGATATCATGAGCATCGATCCATGCAATTTGGATACGATGACATGCATCAACCAAGTCAGCGAGCCTGAACACCCGATCCCGTTAGTCGCCTCTTACCACAAGCATATAGTCGCCTTTTACGGCAAGAATGGGTTACTGAGGACCTATGTTACCCCGGATCTTCACGGGCCAATTGTGAGGTATCGAATGGAATTAGATACCTGATTTAAATTTTACTTTGACCAATCAGAATCAAGCATCATGGTAGAATATGCAGTTTATCTAGCCACACCTCTTAAGCTCGGGTTTGATGAGTGAGTGAGTGAGTGAGTGAGTGAGTGAGTGAGTGAGTGAGTGTTGTTTTATCAGACAGTCAGCAACATTCAAGCCATATCACGGCAGCATGTAAATAATCTCAACTGGGCCAGACAAACTTGTCGCAGCATTAGTTGGTCGTGTTACCAACTATCAACGCAGTCAGGATGTGATGTTAAACAATCGCCCAAGTCATAAATAGAGGGCCGCCTCCGTGGTCTTGTGGTAGAGCGTCCGCCCGGAGAGCGGAAGGTCCGGGGTTCGATCCCCGGCCGCGTCATACCAAAAGACGTTAAAAGATGGTACTTGTTGTTACCCTGTCTGGCGCTCGACATTAAGGGGCTAAAACAAGGACTGGTCGGCTCGGAGTCAGTATACTGTGTCTGAGTGGGGTATTCATGTTAAACTGCGGCATGGTATCTCAGTGAGCTAGCACTATAAATCGGCATCAGTCCGGACTAGTACAAGCAGCCACACACACACACATACACGTGCATGCACGTCGCTATATAAGTGCAATAATCTTGGACGCGACGTAAAACCCAATTTCACCTCACCTCACACATAAATAGAGGATATTTCATGTGTAGAGTGAAATATCATGTTTCTCTTATCGAATGACAGGGAAACAAAGATATTTCCTTTACCACGTCACGACACATGAAATAGTCTATTTCTGATATACTTTTTGTTTATTTGTCTACCGGAAAATTTGAATACGATTAAAATCAAAAATATAAATATCGTTGAAAGCTACAAGACTGATGTTGGAAGCAAAGGAATACAAGTAACAAAAATGGCGCTTGGCGAAACGAACAGTTTCGATTGATGAGTTAAATGATAGATTTACAGTTTATAAGGAAACATTTTTTTTGCAAGAGAATAACACATAGCAAGAAGCGATATTAACTTACAAATGACCACCTGTAATTTTGCCTTGTCAATGTGTAGCTAACGTAAAAAGGAAGGCTACAGTTTGTGTTCAGGCCAGACACTTACGATAAAGGGAGACAATTTAAGGGAGGTAGCTCTTGTGTGACAATAGTTCCATCAAAGTGTAATTATGTTCACTGCAGTGAAAATATCCAATGTAATGATCACTGCAGTGAAATATCAAGTGTCATGTTCAATGCTTTGAAAATATCACTTTTCTCAACTTCAGAAAACTCATACAATGATTAGGTCCGAGAGTCTCGTATCTTTGGCTGAGATTTCACAACAGCTTTAAAGTGTCGATGGCAATTGTTGCCGCGTGTTCTACCAGTCCAACCAACCCAGTATCAACAACTTCCTGAATATGGTTGAAGAACAAGTCTAAAGGTGTCTATTATGACACGTGGAACGACTTCGTCAGTAAGAAAACATACAACTTTGTGGATAAATTCTGGTTTATTGCATATAGCGACGTTTCGATGTAGATTCTTACGTTATCAAGCTGGAGTACGGTGCAGGAATCTACATGGAAACGTCGCTATATGCAATAAACCAGAATATATCCACAAAGTTGTGCGTTTCCTTAAGTACTCACCAACGTCAAGAATGCCAAGCAAACAGATTTCGTCAGGTATGTTGGTTTCTTTGTTGTTTAACGTTGCACTCAGCAATGTTCCAGCTATATGACGGCAGTCTGTAAATAATCGAGTCTGGACTAGACAATCCAGTGATTGACATCATGAGCATCGATCCACGTAATTGGGATCGATGACATGCTTCAACCAAGTCAGCGAGCCTGACCACCCGATCCCGTTAGTCGCCTCTTACGGCAAGCATGGGTTGCTGAAGACCTATTCTACCCCGGATCTCAGGTTTGTTGGTCTGCTGTGTGACTTTGTGATGACAGGCTTGGGGGTTGTTTGTTTGTAGTGAACGCCGCACTCAGCAATATTCCAGCTATCTGTAAATAATCGTGTCTGAACCAGACAACCCAGGGATTGATATCATGAGCATCGATCCACGCAATTGGAATACGATGACATGTATCAACCAAGTCAGCGAACCTGACCACCCGATCCCGTTATTCCTCTTTTACGGCACTAATGGGTTGCTGAAGACCTATTCTACCCCGGATCTTCAGGGGTCTGCGTGGGGATGGTTTGGGCTGCATCTGACAATGTGTTATATTCTATGTATGCCCAATAAATATTAGGCCAGGATGACTGATGCCACGTGGATCAATCAGGCAGTTAATGAGTGCCCTATTGAAACCGAGAGTATGTTGTTGACAAGTGACCATAGTAGTCACGACGAACGCAACATCAAGACAACACAACACATGTCGACATGGAATATGTTTATATCACAAATATCCACAATAAAATCAGTACAGGACAAGACATCGACAACACAGACACATACTTAAGAAGCCTCTTATTCCACTTGCTCAGTCCGTTGGTTAGGGCGTGTCAGAACTGCCTAATTTGGCAATGATAAAAGAACACCGCAATGGCCTCCTTTCGGGAACAGTTCATGCAAATATACAGTTGAAATATTCATGGTAAAAACTTTCAATAACGTTTTTGCTTCCCTAAAACTGACCAAGCTACCCTTGACAAATTATATTTAAACGCATTAAGTTGTAAATTCTGGCTACTTTATTGTTCAAGACCATTTGTCCTTAGTCAGACCGGTACCGTCATAGCTCCATACATCATAAAAAAAGCGACTTTGCAGCCAATTCAGTATACACATATCTGACACAATATAATGACAATGTGGGGAGCTTTGGGGTTGTCTGATGCCTTGTTTACTAGATATTGCCGGCTCAAAGTAAACAAAAAGGTAGCAGCCTGAGCGGAGTGCAAATATACATAATGCCTTACATGTCTTCAAGAAAAGATCAACCCTACATATCATTAAGTAAGGATACGGCCTTGCATGTCCTTAAGCAAAGATAATGCCTTAAATGTCCTTATGTATAGGTAAAAACCATGCACGTCCTTAAGTAAGGATGTCCTTATTTAAAGATAAAGCCCTTAAGTAAGGACATGGCCTTGAGTGTCCTTATTTACAGATAAAACCATGCATGCCCTTAAGTAAGGATACGGCCTTGATTTCCCTATGAAAAGATAAAGCAATGCATGTCCTTAAGTAAGGATGAGGAGTCGAATGTCCTTATGAAAAGATACGGCCTTAAATGTCCTTATGTAAAGATACGGCCTTGAATGTCCTTATGTGAAGATACGGCCTTAAATGTCCTTTTGTGAAGAAACGCCCTTTAATGTCCTTAAGTAATGATACACCCTTGAATGTCCTTATGTAAAGATATGGCCTTGAATGTCCTTATGTAAAGATACGGCCTTGAATGTCCTTATGTAAAGATACAGCCTTGAATGTCCTTATGTAAAGATACGACCTTGAATGTCCTCATGTAAAGATATGGCCTTGAATGTCCTATGTAAAGATACAGCCTTGAATGTCCTTATGTAAAGATATGGCCTTGAATGTCCTTATGTAAAGATATGGCCTTGAATGTCCTTATGTAAAGATACATCCTTGAATGTCCTTATGTAAAGATAAAACCATGCATGACCATCAGTAAATAAAAGGAACACCTTTCCTTAAATGGAGATAAGGATTTGTACAGCTGACCATCAGTGACTATAGACCCTTTCATTGCATAAAGTTAGGACCTTGGATGTCATAGAGGACAAGCAGGGACTTCACTCCCACCCTAGCTGCAAGATTTAATGAAATGGTTAGCTCTGAATGCTTAAAGAAACCAACGTGGTGTAACCTGATGATTAATGTGATCTGACTGTCAAGCCGAGAGTATAATCAATGATCAACACAGAAGCACTGATCACCAACAGAGGGACACAGTCTTTATGAAAATTCCCACCGACTGCACACATGAAAGCACTGTCTCCACATGCAGTGGCGCTGCCCACTTCTCAGTGTATTGATTGTGCAGATAAAAGTCCCGGAGAAATGTGGGTCTAAGAGGCAACTCACATCTGGTAACATGGCTGAGCAGCTTAAAATTGTATTTATACTTTTGACAAGACATACAAAGACATTCATATTGAAGTATTAAAAAAGATATGCACAGATTGTGGTCACAGGTTTTCAATAGCACACTGGTTCCTGATCTCAATGTTGCTTTCCACATAAACACACAGTCAAAAATAAATCACTCTCTCTGAATAATAGTCTGCTTAATAAAACCTCATCTACCAATACCTAGCCTGGCAGTGCCCCGTTGGCAGCTTGAGGTGTGAAATGCCTTTGTGCATTGCAAGAGCAAGGTGCAGCATTACTAAACCATGAAATATCAAGTGCTAAAAATGCGAACATGCACCAATAATTGATGACACTTTTGCATAACAAGCTATGCTCCAAAAATTATATTAAAATTTAGATTTCAACAATCAGCAAGTTCGTTCTTCCTTTAAATATTTTCCCAGGCACAATTTCCAAAAATAAAGTCTGAATAATAATACAAACATCTCAACCAATATCTAACAATGGATGTCATGAAAGTCAGTATTCAAAATTTGTCTTAAAATATTAAATCAGCCAATAAGGAAAGCTGGCACCATTTCATTCTTACTGATGCCTGAATGAGCTGAGAATAAATCATGATGGACGGAGGAAATGCAGCTCAAACTAGTTATCTCCCTTGTTTAAGGGGGAGATAACTGCAAATAACTCTTAAGCTGATATATGAAGAGCAGAAAGCATGACTGTTGGACTGTAAATTATACAAAATATGACTTTAGTCCCATGAGCATCAAGTTGATTGGCAGGAGACTGCCAGACTGAGTTATCAAAAAATACATGGTGGGGTTACGGTAACCCTCCGAGATCAATGCTGGAGTCCAACTGTGAAACATTGTTAACTGGAAGTCAACAGGATGCTGTCTGACACACACAGAAATAATACAATCCTGATCATAAAGGTACCTCGGTTACCCTGTGGTAAGCCAGATGGAATAATAGAGATTCAATTGACAAGGTTCTCTTTACGTGGATACACAGGACAACTTCCTTTCACCTGTGGAGATCATCAAACAGTACAGTCACATCTTGCTTCATTGTTTCGAACATTTAATGTTTCATTGTTGCGAATGTCGTGCTTTCTTGTTGCGAACATGTCGTGCTTCATTGTTGCGAACATGTGGCGCTTACTTTTTGTGAACATGTCATGAAAAGGACTTCCATCACTCCCTCTTGCAGTATGATCGTAGCATGTTTAACAGTAAATCTAGTTCCTGTTTAACAAAGTGATCTCAGGGCTGTCATAAGTCCATGTTAAGAATGTGGGCTACAGTTCCCTTATCACTAAGATCCTTTTGTGGAAGGGGACCCTGTGATATCTAACTTACAGTTTTAATGTTACTTGTCAAGAGGTAAATAATACTTAAAAATACTTTTTCCCATCTCAATATGGCCAAAGTACTGTTGATGTGGTGTAAAAACTCACTCACCCATGCATTCATTCATTCTCCCAATATGAGGAGCTACGGCCACATATCTAGTGAACTTAACACACACTTAGCAAATCTTCCAGTCATGCAGCAAATACGTATATTTGTTGTTTAATGCTACACTCAGCAAAATTCCAGCTATATGACGGTGGTCTGTTAATAATTGAGGCTGGACCAGACAATCCAGTGATTGACATCATGAGCATCTATCCACGCAATTGGGTTATGATGACATGCATCAACCAAGTCAGCAAGCCTGACCACTTGATCTTGTCACCTCTTACGACAAGCAAAGTCGCCTAGCAAATATGTCTGCCTACGGATCTATGATACATTTTTTATTCATCCATTGATTTTCTGTCAGTCTAAATGATACTGTCCTCAGTCCTTATCCGTGTATTAAGTCAATAACTTGACAACATAACTTGCGCATAGCTGACCTAACATTACTTATATTATGCATAAGTTTCATAAAAGGAACTGTAAATAAAATCAATGTCATACAATTCATAACATGTCAACAAATATGTTAACAACAGCAAAGTGTTACAACACAAGTTGAGCAGTGACTTCACATCCAAATATTAAAATGATATATCATGACCACAACAATTTGGCAAAATGTGAGGCATTCAAATAAACACGTCTTCAGGGACTATGTAAAACTTGGTACACAATGTTGTCATTTTGATTATCATCTTAGCTAGAACCTATTATACTTACAGCTAGTTATCTCTGGTCGTGATAATCCAAAAACTTTTTTTGACCTTAGAAATCCTTAATATAACAGCCATATTTGGTGGCTTAGTCTTTGAGAGCAGGCCTGTGATTGGCTCTATACCTATCGTGAGGAACTGGTAGCCTTGTCTAAGAGAGCAGGCCAGTGATTGGCCCTGTCCCCATAGTGAGGACTGATAGCCTTGTCTTAGAGAGCAGGCCAGTGGTTGGCTCTGTCCCCATAGTGAAGACTGATAGCCTTGTCTTAGAGAGCAGGCCAGTGATTGGCTCTGTCCCCATAGTGAGGAACTGGTAGCCTTGTCTAAGAGAGCAGGCCAGTGATTGGCTCTATCCCTACAGCGAGGAACTGATAGCCTTGTCTAAGAGAGCAGGCCAGTGATTGGCTCTATCCCTACAGCGAGGAACTGATAGCCTTGTCTAAGAGAGCAGGCCAGTGATTGGCTCTATCCCTACAGCGAGGAACTGATAGCCTTGTCTTAGAGAGCAGGCCAGTGATTGGCTCAATCCCTATTGTGAGGAACTGATAGCCTTGTCTAAGAGAGCAGGCCAGTGATTGGCTCTATCCCTACAGCGAGGAACTGATAGCCTTGTCTTAGAGAGCAGGCCAGTGATTGGCTCAATCCCTATTGTGAGGAACTGATAGCCTTGTCTTAGAGAGCAGGCCAGTGATTGGCTCTATCCCTACAGCGAGGAACTGGTCAGTCAGTCGGGAATTGTGAAGGAAGGAGCTGTTGCTGTGTTTCCTACTGATCTTCCTTACCATGGCCTAGGTGATGGCACAGCATAAATAATCTTTCATATATTAGTTTCTTCAGGAACTTATCAATAAATAGCAAACACCCTTTAAGTCATGAATGTCAAGAATCATGTAAAAGTACCTTATCACAAATTCAATACAAGAAACATCCCAGCAACACAAACCCACGAAAGTAGTCCTGCAATGAAAACCGTGGATTCAAAGTACGTAAACATGACAGATTGCGGCTTTTGTATTGTGAAATGATTAAATAAAAATGAAAAATGAAAAAAAGAAGCCGTATGAAAAAGTGAAGATTTTCGGACAAGGGTTTTTCTTGACATTCAAGTTTGCTACAGTAAAATGCTGTCAATAACAAATAAAAACAAAATGGAAATAATTCTGAAAACACAAATTTCCATGATGAATCACAATGCTGGAGAGGGACAATACTTGTGGGGTCTTCAGCAACTTCATCATTTCAGCATGTTCATCATTTCAGCATAACATACCAGATGCTTACAGCTGCTCAGAGCACATGCAGCTATAATTGATACACTTATACTAATATAACAGAGATTCTAAAATAAAATAAAATAGTGGTTTTTTTGTAAGATGAAGGATTCAATGAAAATAGATTTCTTGATTAAAAGTCAAAATTTATATAAGAGAACTTTTACCAAAACAAATATCTCCTGTGGATGAACTTGTTGAAAAGTCTGAATGCTTCTTCGAGCACTGGTGAAGCTACATAATATCCTCCAGGTCAAAAGCAACAGCAAGACACAAAATATCTACTGTAGGCTTCAAACTCAAGCAGGGTGTGCACCAAGCTAACACACCGTCTACCGAGCCCCAGCTGCCTCACCTTGTGATCAGTAGGGCAAAACGACTGCAGACATGTCACTGTCTCCAGCTCGTCCTCACTAGTCGTTTTCATCTTCGTCAGCTCCATGTGATCATGTATGACAGTCAGTTTGTTTTCTCAGCCAAGGTAAGGTCACTGTCTACAGTACAAGCTCAACTGTGAACACTAACATGATTTACACCTGGTTAAATTATGATCAAACATTAAGTTCTATCTGTGAAGAACAAGGGAATTCCTAATGTCAAGTTACCAGGCACCTGCTGTAGAAGAAGGGAACTCCTAATGTCAAGTTTTATCAACACAGTGACCGAACCAGGCACCTGCTGCAGAAAAAGGGAATTCCTAATGTCAAGTTACCAGGCACCTGCTGTAGAAGAAGGGAATTCCTAATGTCAAGTTACCAGGCACCTGCTGTAGAAGAAGGGAATTCCTTCCTAATGTCAAGTTTTACTGAACCAGGGCACCTGATCAACAATGTTCATCTGATACAAATTTGTAAGCTGTAACATGAAGAGAGACTTGGCTAAATGTTCCTAGACTCCCTGTAGTGTGCAGACTTCCTACACAGACTGGATATAGAACATTCAGCTACTATTGCAAGACTTCCTGATATTTCCATAAATGACAAACATCGATCAGTGAACAGAACAGTTGTTCCTTTCTTTTGATCAAAATATTGATACATGATTTTTATATTTCAATCAGAGTCAGCTGTTCGACTCCAAGCACCAACAAGCTCTGTGAAGTATCTCACAGCTCCATGACATATCTCACAGCTCCATGACGTATCTCACAGCCCCGTGAAGTACCTCACAGACCCGTGAAGTATCTCACAGATCACTTTCCCAACACCTCTTTGTGGTGGACTATGACCAGTTCGATGACCTTCTGCTCGAACTTGGCGGCCATTAGGCTGACCATGGGGTCGGTCTCCAGTGGCCGCATCAGTGTGGGGGCAAACACGATGGACAGGTTCTCCGCTCCCATCATGTTCTTGCCTTTGTGCTCCGTCACTCTGGAATACAGCACAAATAACACACAGTCACATGGCTTGTTTCTGGTAGTTTGTTGTAGTCTTCAGCAACCCATGCTTATCATAAGTGGTTGTCGTAAGAGGCAACTAACAGGACCAGGTGGTCAGGCTTGCTGACTTGGTTGCATGTCATCATATCCCAATTGTCTGGATTGATGCTCATGTTATCAATCACTGGATTGTCTTGTCGGGACTCCATTATTTACAGACCACCTTCATGTAGCTAGAATATTGCTGAGTGTGGCATTAAACAACAAACAAACAAACAAATAAACAAACAAACTTATATGCCCATGTGTGCATACTTCCAACAAAGCACACACAAACATGTACAACAAAGTGAGATGAATGTCATATTCTAATGTACAAAAGTAAGGGATCACAAACTGAACTCAAAGGATTGCAGCCTAAACAAAAGCCCAGATGTGTTCAGCCACACCATTAGATTACAGAGTTATCTCCCTTGCACACTACCTTTCCCCCTCAAACTGGTGCTTACACTGCCTCCAGCCTTGTTTACAGACTGTCATGACCACGAGCTGACCAGGACTGTCTCGAACAATCCAAGTAGATCAATATTGTGTTATCATAAATGTACTATCAGTTGAGTGAGTGAGTGAGTGAGTATGCTTTTACGCCGCTTTTAGCAATATTCCAGCAATATTCCGGATGGACAGCAGAAATGGGCTTCACACATTGTACCCATGTGGGGAATTGAGCCCGGGTCTTCAGCGTGATGAGTGAAAGCTTAAACCACTAGGCTACCGAACCGCCCTTTACTATCAGTTGTACAGAGAGAATCAACATGCCATACTAAGACCAATACACTATTTCGAACTCTACACTGATGATAGAGTTGTCTCCTCACCTGACCAGGTGCATGATGAGGTACTTGAGAGTCTGGAAGTGGGCGGCAGGCAGACTGGTGATGGCTTCTTTCAGCATCTTCACCTGCTCGTTAACATCACTCTCCTCCTTCTCTGAAACATCAACACCACACACATAACACCACACACTTAACATCACTCTCCTCCTTCTCTGAAACATCAACACCACACACATAACACCACACACTTAACATCACTCTCCTCCTTCTCTGAAACATCAACACCACACACATAACACCACACACATAACACCACACACTTAACATCACTCTCCTCCTTCTCTGAAACATCAACACCACACACATAACACCACACACTTAACATCACTCTCCTCCTTCTCTGAAACATCAACACCACACACATAACACCACACACTTAACATCACTCTCCTCCTTCTCTGAAACATCAACACCACACACATAACACCACACACATAACACCACACACTTAACATCACTCTCCTCCTTCTCTGAAACATCAACACCACACACTTAACATCACACACTTAACATCACTCTCCTCCTCCTCTGAAACATCAACACCACACACATAACACCACACACTTAATATCACATCACTGTAACATCACCAACTTAACATCACCTAACATAACACACTGAATATTACAGCCTTCAGATACAATAAACATCACACATGAAACATCACACATTAAACATCATTAATTTAACATCATCAGTATAACAACATCAACTTAACATCACCTTAACATCACGGACATAACAAAACAGACTTAACATCACAATTTTAACATCACACTCTTAACATCACCACAGATTTCAACATCCCACAGTGCCCCTTCCATGAAAGGAGCCTACTGCCCACAGCGTGTTAGACTTGCACGAGTCTCTTAGGCAATACTTTTAATCATAATCAGTTTTAATCACAATTTCTAGATTATGTAAATAATAAGCACAAGTTGTCCCTAAAACAGACTGGAGTCTGTACTGTCCACATATCTAGACTTGCCTATTAGGAGGATCGAAATACTACACATCCATGGACTTTTCTTTCAGTACAGCCTTGGAGCAAGGCTAACAGAGGTTGAACAGTGGAACTTACTGGCTGCATCTATCACTATTCTGTAGACATCAAACGTGATGAGGGGTATCGGGAGGAGGCGGAAGAAGAGCTTCAGGGCACTCGTCACCGTGTTGATGTCGTCGTATCGGGAAACACTAATATCGGCATTCTCGCCATCTGCAAAATGATAACCAGCGTCAGTGTTACAGCAATCTTGTCAGTCGACCATCGGCTCGCGCCTAGACCATTTCCGTCATACTCTAGAAGTTGGTTTGTGAGTGAGTTTTGTTTGTGCCACTTTTAGCAATATTCCAGCAATATGATGACAGGTGACACTAGAAAAGGGACTTCACACATTGTGCCCATGTGAGGAATCGAACCCGGGTTTTCGGCGTGACGAGCCAATGTTTGAATCACTGGACTATCCCACTAGAAGCATGACCTACGCTATACATGAGAAAGGTGTTTACAAGAGGAAAAACATACTGTTAAAATGTGTAGATACAAACAACAGGATACATAAGAAACAAATAGAGGCAACCATGCTTGTGTGTTTTAGGATGGTAAATATCCCACACTTGGAAAAAATATTGTATTTAGCAAGCCTTGGCAAACTAACTACATAGTGTTTATAACTAATACAGGTTATTCATCCAAATACACACAAGCGTGATAACCTCTTTATAATGTGTCAATATTATATTCTATTATCAAAACAAGCATGAAATATTAATATCCCCTGCCAATAAGTCTGGTTGTGTGCAAGGCACAACATATTGTATGATTTTCAAAATCCTCTCAAGAAGCAAGCACTAGCATCTCGAAAAATAAATTCTAAAAAATCCAAAACTATCAAAAGGCACCAGTTTACCACTAGACCTATCTATGTGCCAAGTTTGGTGAAGAAATGTTGTACGTTTTTCAAGATCTGCTCTGGAAACGAGCACTAACGCCATTTTCAGTCTAAGTCAAAGTTGTTGCTATGGAAACTCAAAACATATATTTTTTAAAATCCCGAAATTCTCAAAAGGCAAGTTTTCCTGGAATGAGCACATGAATGTATTTCAACACGATGTCAGTGTTTAGTAAGTCCGAGAGTGACAACAGTCAATATAGTTCCAAATGAAACTTGCTTCTTAGATAGTGGCGTAACTACCACAGTCGCCTACAGACAATATTTTCATTTTGTCATTGATCACCTATCACGGCACTCCCTCCGTCTGCCCGCTGGAGTTATTGCCCTTTCCCACAGTGAAGCTACTCAATGAAACAACACATTTGTTTGGAGTCTGCCCGGCTTGTCACAATATATCCGATACACTTCGTCCAAATCCAATTGTTATTTAATCAGGAAAAGAGGTCTACAAGCACAGGCATGGAACTCATATCCCGTTCATCCTCGTAAAATGTCTTCACAATTCATAACAAAGGCTTCAGATAGGCCCCTTTAAGACAACTAATAGTTTCAAAATAACATTATCCTTGTAATTTGTCCCCAGTCATTAATCGCTGACAGACATGGTCTATTCCATATTTGTTAGTAAACACTGAAAGAAGTACCTACCTGTCCCTTACCTTTAATTTACCCTAAAATGACGCCAACAGATATCCATATTATCTGGCTTTATCCTAGTAAGAAACCCACTGATTGAAATGATAAAATAGGATATCAAACCTTTATCAAATGACATCCTGATGGCCTCCACGTCGTCATGGAAACCAGCTATTCGGTACAACCCTTCCGACTCCAAACCTAAAGACAAAACATAAAACATTCTTATATATTAAACATATATGTGTTTCTGATATCGTACGAACTGAAAGCAACAGCTCACACTGTGGTCATCAAACCACTTCAACTGAGTGAGTGAATGAATACTGCCATAAGAGGCATGACCTTATTTGTATATTTTCGTACCAATATTGAGATAATTCCCTAATCAGATAATCAGAACACAATCAGGTAGTTCCTTTTTGTTTGTTTGCTGCTTGACGCTGAACTCAGCAATATTCCAGCGATATGCAGCAGCCTGTGAATAATGAGGTTTGGAGATGACAATCCAGTGATTGATATCGTGAGCAATTTGTTGTTGTGGTACGATTACATGTCATCAACCAAGTCACTGCGTCTGACCACTCGATCCATTTGGTCAGTGAGTGAGTGAGTGAATATTGCTTAACGCCGCATCATCAATTTTGCAGCTATTCGCGGCAAACCCATTTGGTCAGTCACCTCTAACAACCAGCACAGGTTGCTGGGGACCTATTCTAACCCGGAATCCCCTGGGGGGAAGTTTCATGTATCCAGACTAACTACAAACTCCCCACAATGCTTCTCACACATGGACTACATGACATACACCAGATAGCAATGGGACGACCCAACAATTCCCATGGTTGATAAGCTTCAGTATCGGCACATGAAAGGACCCGTGAAGATCCGGGGTGGAATAGGTCTTCAGTAACCCATGCTTGGCGTAAAAGGCGACTATGCTTGTTGTAAGAGGCGACTAACAGGATCGGGTGGTCAGGCTCGCTGACTTGGTTGATGCATGTCATCGTATCTCAATTGCGTGGGTCGATGCTCATGATATCAATCACTGGATTGTCTGGTACAGACTCTATTAGCTGGAATAGTGCTGAGTGCGGCGTTAAACAATAAACAAACAAACATGATAGTGCGACCGATGCCTGACCATACCACAGCAGAGACTGAACAACGAACAAATCCCCCCGTAGGAATTCAGGTAGATGGATCAGGTGGTCAGGCTTGGTGACTTGGTTCATGCATGTCATTGTATCCCAGTTGCGTGGATCAATGCTCATGATGTCAATCACTTGATCGTCTGGCCCAGACTTGATTATTTACAGACCATCATCACATATTGCTGAGTGCAGTGTTAAAGGACCAACTAACAAATGACAGCGCAAAGTCTGACCTCTGGTCTCGATCTCCTTGACACACTTCTCCACCACATGTGGGATGCCCGTCTTCTGTGCCAGCACCACGGTCGTCAGGTCGGCGCCGTAGATCCGCTTCACATACTTCATGTCCGGCATGCAGTCATTGGGCACCTTCTCCGAGCACTTCTTGTGAGCTTCAAACCCACAATCTGGACACACAGAAACACAACAGTCACCCTGACATCACACAACCCATTGTCTAGACAACCAGTCAATAATACAAGGGGTGTAGGATTTGGGTTTGAGGCAGTGCTCCCTTAAATACGGGATTTGGGTTTGAGGTAGTGCTCCCTAAAATGTGGGATTTGGGTTTGAGGCAGTGCTCCCTAAAATGTGGGATTTGGGTTTGAGGCAGTGCTCCCTAAAATGTAGGATTTGGGTTTGAGGCAGTGCTCCCTAAAATGTGGGATTTGGGTTTGAGACTGCTCCCTAAAATGTGGGATTTGGGTTGAGACTGCTCCCTAAAATGTGAGATTTGGGTTTGAGACAGTGTTCCCTAAAATGAGGGATTTGGGTTTGAGGCAGTGCTCCCTAAAATGTGGGATTTGGGTTTGAGACAGCGCTCCCTTATATGTGGGATTTGGGTTTGTGACAGAGCCCCCTAAAATGTGGGATTTGGGTTTTAGGCAGTGCTCCCTAAAATGTGGGATTTGGGTTTGAGACAGTGCTCCCTTATATGTGGGATTTGGGTTTGTGACAGAGCTCCCTAAAATGTGGGATTTGGGTTTGTGACAGTGCTACCTAAAATGAAGAGTAAAACAATATTTGTTGGAGCCGCATTGTTCATCAACCATTACAGTGAATATATTATTTATTTTGATAAAGCCAGATTTTAATAATTATTAAAAACATCCCAGCATCATAGCCCACAACCCCAACCCTAACCCCAACCAACCTCAACCCCAACCCCACCCCACCCTCAACCCCACCCAACCGCAACACCAACCTCAACCCCACCCACAACACCAATCCCACTCTCAACACCAATCCCTCCCCACCTCAAAACCAACCTCAACCCAAACCCCACTCTCAACCCCTCCCAACTCCACCCCACCCCAGCCCACCCCACCCCCAACCTCAAGCACGCGACTGGTTTGTCCTTACGGTCGGAATATACAATCGCTGTGACAAACGTGAATTACAGCAATCAAGGGAAACAACTCCTTATTAACAAACTCCTGGACTGTACTTGAAGAGTTATGGTCCTTACTTTAAATATGTAATCATCAATCTCTGGTCTTCTGATAATTTAATTCTGCAAATTATAAATAATGGGTCCTGGAATGATGTATGACAGAGTTTTTTACCTTGACATTTGACCCCCTGGGCAATGAGGCCCCACATGAAGTTGGCACAGAAGTCGCACCAGTGAAGGCCCATGAAGTTTTGAAGCTGCAACAAAATATGAATCATCAATAAAACGGTTCATGCATTCACGGTCAACTTCTGTTATTCCAGAACAAGCCAAATAGCGACTTGTGCCCCTCTCGTGGACATTTTTATGACTGGGTTCAGTCTAAGCACAAACGGTCATAGCTAAAAGAATAACTCGTTGCGTAATGATTCACACATATTTCCCCCATATACCATATATATTCCAGATGCTATTAAAAACACATCAGGACTTGCAGGTTTGTCGTATTTTTGCACATAACATTCATCAATAGGGGGGCGAGTCTTCTTGCAGGTTACGGAAAGGGGCGAGTGGTGATGAATGTTGCTTACGCTGACAAACCTTGGACTGGGAAAGGGGACAAAAATGAGAGAATCAAGTACACACCCAGTAGATCCTGGCACACTAAGGGATGAAACTCTGCACAGATAATTCTGCCATGTTCTACGCTGCCACACACCAGAATTCAGGTCTATTAGAACGCATTGAATCTTTTCCACACTACTAACAGATTCTTACTTTAATGTTTACATGAAATAACAGGTGTGTACATTGCACTTAGGGACTGGTCGTTTAGTATAGGGTGGGGGTAGGGTGGGGATTAGGGTGGGGATAGGGTGGGATCGGGTCGGGTCAGATTGAAATAACGTCTTTAAACTTGAGGATTGAAATACTTCCACTCTGAGTCAATGACACAATGATTTTCATCATACACAGGGATCGCGGAGATCAATAAGTTAAAAATAATATATAGAATGTTTGTCTTTTCTTGTCAAGCATCATGATCTATATGATGCATATGTCAATAATTTCCCTCTAGCAGATCCATTCATAAGTCACACTGTGTTCTGATATCACACAACAAACTTATACCTTAGAAATCGCCGAATGTACCTGTTATAAATATGAGACACAAATTGAGAAACATTGCACAGATTGTCAACATACAGATTTTACATACACTACGAGATATACAACCGACATCCTAAGCTTCTTAATTTAATTGTTGGTCACCTTGCAGCCTCATTCGACAAAGGTCATTTTGTCAATTTGTACCATTTTGTCAAGTTTTTCATTACTGTACAGATTTGCTGAAAAGTATACCTCAATGGCGTGTTTTGTGACAAACTGAAATATATATGACAGACTGCATCCTTCAGGATCCATGGTGATCTCACCTTAAAACAATGCTGCTTCTCATAATGCTTCCAGTCTGGGGGGAGGTCATCGTCATCCTCGTCCCCATCCTCCCCTTCCTCCTCCTCCACAACGGTGTCCTACAAAGACAGGTGCACATGTACCGACCCACTCTCTACTCTTGTAATGAAGACAGGGTCGTAGTGACAAGTGCACATGTACCGACCCACTCTCTACTCTTGTAATGAAGACAGGGTCGTAGTGACAAGTGCACATGTACCGACCCACTCTCTACTCTTGTAATGAAGACAGGGTCGTAGTGACAAGTGCACATGTACCGACCCACTCTCTACTCTTGTAATGAAGACAGGGTCGTAGTGACAAGTGCACATGTACCGACCCACTCTCTACTCTTGTAATGAAGACAGGGTCTTAGTGACAAGTGCACATGTACCGACCCACTCTCTACTCTTGTAATGAAGACAGGGTCGTAGTGACAAGTGCACATGTACCGACCCACTCTCTACTCTTGTAATGAAGACAGGGTCTTAGTGACAAGTGCACATGTACCGACCCACTCTCTACTCTTGTAATGAAGACAGGGTCGTAGTGACAAGTGCACATGTACCGACCCACTCTCTACTCTTGTAATGAAGACAGGGTCGTAGTGACAAGTGCACATGTACCGACCCACTCTCTACTCTTGTAATGAAGACAGGGTCGTAGTGACAGGTGCACATGTACCGACCCACTCTCTACTCTTGTAATGAAGACTGTGTCGCAGTGAGGTGAGATGAGGTGAGGTGAAATGGGGTTTAAAGTCGCGTCCAAGATTATTGCACTAATATAGCGACGTGCTTATACTTGTCCGGACAGATACCGAATTAAAGTGCTAGCACACTGAGATACCATGCCGCAGTTTTACATGAATACCCTACTCAGACACAGTATACTGACTCCGGGACGACCAGTCCTTGTTTAGACCCTTAATGCCGACCGCCAGACAGGGTAACAACAAGTACCATCTTTTAACCTCTTTTGATATGACACAGACAGGGATCGAACCCCGGACCTTCCGCTCTCCAGGCAGAGGCACTACCACTAGACCACGGAGGCGGCCCAAGACCACATCCACTGACCAACTCTCAACTCTTGTAATGAAGACAGTGTCGGAGTGACAAGGTGCAACTGGTCTTAAAATCTGGACACAATGTAACATAAACATCAGAACAATGATGATTCTACAAATGCCGACTTACAATACAAGCAAGTCCATAAAAAACATACATATTTCTACAACAATCCTGAAAGGACATAAAGCTAAGTCATCTTGCAATATACACACCGGAACATCCACATCAGACGACGTGACCTCATCATCCGTGTAGTCCAGTCGCCGTGACGACGCTGGCCGGGAGCGAGTCTTTAGCCGTTTCTTCTTGTAGCTGTACGCGAGATATGGCGACTCTTCGTAGTTGGACTCATTAGAAAGTGCTGATATGTAGTCAGCTGCTCGCAGCTCGATATAGAAGTGGATCAGGCCATCCTCCACCAGAGAGTGCACTGTATCAAAACGCTTCTCACCCACAAAATGTTTGCCATCATAGTATAGTTTGAAGTTCTTTGTTTCACAATTAAATCTGCGAAAAAGAAGGTAAGGAAGTGAGTTGACTGATGCCAGTCTACAACACTGCAGCAACATGTCAGCCACATACACATAACCTGGGCCAGACACCCGGTGACACAGGACAGCAGGGTACATCACCCACACAACACATACACATAACCTGGGCCAGACACCCGGTGACACAGGACAGCGGGGTACATAAACCACCATCACCCACACAACACATACACATAACCTGGGCCAGACACCCGGTGACACAGGACAGCAGGGTACATCACCCACACAACACATACACATAACCTGGGCCAGACACCCGGTGACACAGGACAGCAGGGTACATCACCCACACAACACATACACATAACCTGGGCCTGACACCCGGTGACGCAGGACAGCAGGGTACATAAACCACACAACACATACACATAACCTAGGCCAGACACCCGGTGACACAGGACAGCAGGGTACATCACCCACACAACACATACACATAACCTGGGCCAGACACCCGGTGACGCAGGACAGCAGGGTACATAAACCACACAACACATACACATAACCTGGGCCAGACACCCGGTGACGCAGGACAGCAGGGTACATCACCCACACAACACATACACATAACCCGGGCCAGACACCCGGTGACGCAGGACAGCGGGGTACATAAACCACCATCACCCACACAACACATACACATAGCCTGGGCCAGACACCCGGTGACACAGGACAGCAGGGTACATCACCCACACAACACATACACATAACCCGGGCCAGACACCCGGTGACGCAGGACAGCAGGGTACATCACCCACACAACACATACACATAACCTGGGCCAGACACCCGGTGACGCAGGACAGCGGGGTACAAGAACCACCATCACCCACACAACACATACACATAGCCTGGGCCAGACACCCGGTGACACAGGACAGCAGGGTACATCACCCACACAACACATACACATAACCTGGGCCAGACACCCGGTGACACAGGACAGCGGGGTACAAGAACCACCATCACCCACACAACACATACACATAGCCTGGGCCAGACACCCGGTGACGCAGGACAGCGGGGTACAAGAACCACCATCACCCACACAACACATACACATAGCCTGGGCCAGACACCCGGTGACACAGGACAGCAGGGTACATCACCCACACAACACATACACATAACCTGGGCCAGACACCCGGTGACACAGGACAGCAGGGTACATCACCCACACAACACATACACATAACCTGGGCCAGACACCCGGTGACACAGGACAGCAGGGTACAAGAACCACCATCACCCACACAACACATACACATAGCCTGGGCCAGACACCCGGTGACACAGGACAGCAGGGTACATCACCCACACAACACATACACATAACCCGGGCCAGACACCCGGTGACACAGGACAGCGGGGTACAAGAACCACCATCACCCACACAACACATACACATAACCTGGGCCAGACACCCGGTGACGCAGGACAGCAGGGTACATCACCCACACAACACATACACATAACCCGGGCCAGACACCCGGTGACACAGGACAGCGGGGTACATGAACCACCATCACCCACACAACACATTCCAACAACCTGATCTGAGGCCTACAACTGATGTAATCCTACGCTGAAGAATGAGGGTTACGTTCATCTGAGGCTTACGATTATTGTAAGCCTACGTTGAAGTGTGAGGGTTATGATGATCTGAGGCCTAAGACTATTGTAAGCCTACGTTGAAGTGTGGGTGTTACGATGATCTGAGGCCTAAGACTATTGTAAGCCTACGTTGAAGTGTGGGTGTTATGATGATCTGAGGCCTAAGACTATTGTAAGCCTACGTTGAAGTGTGGGGGTTTCGACAATCAGAGGCCTATGACTATTGTAAGCCTACGTTGAAGTGTGGGTGTTATGATGATCTGAGGCCTAAGACTATTGTAAGCCTACGTTGAAGTGTGGGTGTTATGATGATCTGAGGCCTAAGACTATTGTAAGCCTACGTTGAAGTGTGGGTGTTATGATGATCTGAGGCCTATGACTATTGTAAGCCTACGTTGAAGTGTGGGTGTTATGATGATCTGAGGCCTATGACTATTGTAAGCCTACGTTGAAGTGTGGGTGTTATGATGATCTGAGGCCTAAGACTATTGTAAGCCTACGTTGAAGTGTGGGAGTTTCGATGATCTGAGGCCTAAGACTATTGTAAGCCTACGTTGAAGTGTGGGTGTTACGATGATCTGAGGCCTAAGACTATTGTAAGCCTACGTTGAAGTGTGGGTGTTATGATGATCTGAGGCCTAAGACTATTGTAAGCCTGCGTTGAAGTGTGGGGGTTTCGACAATCAGAGGCCTATGACTATTGTAAGCCTACGTTGAAGTGTGGGTGTTATGATGATCTGAGGCCTAAGACTATTGTAAGCCTACGTTGAAGTGTGGGTGTTATGATGATCTGAGGCCTAAGACTATTGTAAGCCTACGTTAAAGTGTGGGTGTTACGATGATCTGAGGCCTATGACTATTGTAAGCCTACGTTGAAGTGTGGGTGTTATGATGATCTGAGGCCTAAGACTATTGTAAGCCTACGTTGAAGTGTGGGTGTTATGATGATCTGAGGCCTATGACTATTGTAAGCCTACGTTGAAGTGTGGGTGTTATGATGATCTGAGGCCTATGACTATTGTAAGCCTACGTTGAAGTGTGGGTGTTATGATGATCTGAGGCCTAAGACTATTGTAAGCCTACGTTGAAGTGTGGGAGTTTCGATGATCTGAGGCCTAAGACTATTGTAAGCCTACGTTGAAGTGTGGGAGTTACGATGATCTGAGGCCTAAGACTATTGTAAGCCTACGTTGAAGTGTGGGAGTTTCGATGATCTGAGGCCTAAGACTATTGTAAGCCTACGTTGAAGTGTGGGTGTTATGATGATCTGAGGCCTAAGACTATTGTAAGCCTACGTTGAAGTGTGGGGGTTTCGACAATCAGAGGCCTATGACTATTGTAAGCCTACGTTGAAGTGTGGGTGTTATGATGATCTGAGGCCTATGACCATTGTAAGCCTACGTTGAAGTGTGGGTGTTATGATGATCTGAGGCCTATGACTATTGTAAGCCTACGTTGAAGTGTGGGTGTTATGATGATCTGAGGCCTAAGACTATTGTAAGCCTACGTTGAAGTGTGGGAGTTTCGATGATCTGAGGCCTAAGACTATTGTAAGCCTACGTTGAAGTGTGGGTGTTATGATGATCTGAGGCCTAAGACTATTGTAAGCCTACGTTGAAGTGTGGGTGTTATGATGATCTGAGGCCTATGACTATTGTAAGCCTACGTTGAAGTGTGGGAGTTTCGATGATCTGAGGCCTAAGACTATTGTAAGCCTACGTTGAAGTGTGGGAGTTACGATGATACGAGGGATATGACTTTGTACGATGATCTGAGGCCTACAACTGATATAATCCTACGTTGAGGAATGAGGGTTACGATCATCTGAGGCCTATGACTATTGTAAGCCTACGTTGAAGTGTGAGAGTTATGACGATCTGAGGCCTACGACTATTGTAAAGTTACGTTGAAGTGTGGGAGTTACAACGATCTAAGGCCTATGGTTGTTCTGACGTGACCCGTAATGGGATGTCCTCAGATCTTTGTTTAGCGGCAGCGAGAACTTAGATCTGATTTTAATGACATTGGTCTTGTTGTTACCCAGCCTTGTGTTTGGCAATGGTGACAAAACAAGGATTGGTTGGCTCGGAGTGAGCATAATGTGAAACTGCAGCACGGTATCTCAGTGGGCTTACACCACAAAACCGGGCATTAGTCCAGACTAGTACAAACATGCACCCACACACACGCACACATTCACATACGCACACATACACATACACACACGCACACATCGTTATATTATGCGACATCCATTTCACCCTTCCACCTGAAATTCCTGGGTTGTCCGAGGTCCTTGAGGGTCGACCAATAATACTTGAATCCCCTATATATTAAACTTTTAACATTACTGACTTTCATGCTAAATTACTGCTCCAGCATACAAGGGCATGATATGATTCATTCTGCATCACCACCCATCCTCGAATCTGATCTTGTAGTAACGGTCCAGAGTAAGCGCTGATGTTGAAGTCCCACCTGATAGCCAGCGTGAAGGCGTCGGGGGCCCGCTCACTCTTGCGGACAAGGTAACAGCCATCCCCGTCGCTCAACAAGCGGTCAGCCTCATCGCGGCTCACGTTGCCATGGAATCTAAAACAAAAAACGACAAAGATTCCTGTAAAAAAATGACAATCATACACTATTAAGTATCTAACTATCAGCTTCAGACATTTTGTTTGGCATCAATGTGATTAGCATAAAGAGTGAGTGAGTTGGGTTTAACGCCGCATTTAACAGTATTCCAGTTATGTCACTGCATGTCAGCTTAATGTGGGAGGAAAGCTCGAGGTGATGCAAGTCTCACATTCACCACTTCGATGAAACCAATAAGCATGGGTATGTTGCTGACAAACATAGAAACATAATTTGGGTGAACTGGGATTCGAACCCACAATCATAGGTTTCTGGTGTGCCAACAGCAGCAACACAGCGAATTGTGGTGCCTTAGACGACCTGTGCCCCCGATCAGCATAAAGATTAGCTATAGTCATGGCCATGATCACTGCGATAGAACTTAACCTTTTTAGTCCTCTAGTCCTTATATTGTAATAATGATAACATATAACAAACCCTAAAAATGGCAAATTTCAACGAGACCTTATGGTACCTGAACAACTGGGCAGTTGGGCAAGGACTAAAGGACTAGTGCCAATTTCTATCGCTGTGATCATAATTTCAATCACTGACACCTAACCATTTCTTTATTTTGGGATTAGGACTTTGAGAAATAATTTGTACTAGAAACTAGGGGATTCTAATGTTTGCATTTTTCAAGCATAATCTAAAAAGAAATATTTTTGTGTTCGTAATAATAATGGACATAGAATGTGGGAAAAAAGTATGGTGATTGTTAAATGCATCCTCCCCCATTCTTCAACAACTTTGATGTCATGTTTGTTTGCACACAAAATCATTATAGTATCATATATTATAGTATATAGTATATAGTATTCTTTCAACGATTCTAGTTTATACCATTAACCAGGATGGGGTTGCTCTTTTCTTAACCTTCATTATCTTCACACAGTGCGGGATAGAACATGGCATATTTTTCAAAAACTTTTCCATATCACACACAATCTTAACACACAAAAATTTAATACCACATTTGGTTTTAAGCATGAGTCAAAGTATACCACTCAAAAGAAGTTAAAGAACATCTGATTCTTTTATATTACCATAGTTAATTTGTCAATCATTCAATAGTCAATATAATTGTATTCAGAATGTAGGCCTCTCAGCCCATAAATCTCAGTACAAGCAGTTTATGTGATAAATATACTAGCCACATTAAGAAACTGTGCACGGAGAAAATATAGATATAAGGGCACACCGTCCATATATGAAATATAGGTATGAACACAGCAATTATTGGAGACATTCAAGCGCTCATGCACGTGCCATGCGATATGACGTCATTGATGGGGGCCTATGGACGTGCAATGTGTTACTGCATGTGCATCCTGTGCAGCTGTACACAGCATGTGCAACTCAAAATTCGCTGTCACTTTGGAAAGCATGATCTGTGGTCATTCAAAAATTCAAAACTTCTCAGGCGCAGACACAAGCATATCACAAGCAAATCATGCCAAGATTGACAGCTGCACAGCGTCATGAAGCCATTGGAATGATCCGAGCAGGAATGAGGCAACAACAGGTGGCAACACATTTCCAATGCCATCGTAACACGATATCGGCATTGGTGAGGCGTTATCAGAAAACAAATGACGTTGCCGACCACCCACGTTCAGGACGTCCCCGAGTAACGACGCCAAGACAGGACAGATGGATTCGAGTTACACATCTCCGACACAGGTTCCAAACGGCAGTAACGACGTCCCAGACAATTCCTGGACTGCGCCGTATCCATCCCAACACTGTCAGGAATCGTTTACGTCAGCACGGGATTCGACCACGACGCCCTGCCATACCTCCCATCCTGACACACCGTCATCGAGTCAACCGTCTAAGATGGTGTTGAAATCATGTTTGCCAACCTCGAATATGGTGGAGAAATGTTGTCTTTACAGATGAATCGAGGTTCAACATTTCCCACAGTGACAGGCGCCAACGTGTCTACCGGCGTTTGGGAGAACGTTATGCACGCAACTGTATTGTGGAGAGGAATCGTTTTGGAGGTGGCTCTGTGATGATTTGGGGTGGGATAACAGCACGGCACCAAACCCCTTTGGTGGTTGTTCAGGGCAATCTCACCGGTGTTGGCTACAGAGATCAGATTCTGAGGCCTGTGGTCATTCCTTTCCTGCAATGTCATGGCCCGGGATTGACATTTCAACAGGACAACGCTCGTCCTCACACGGCTAGGGTCGCAATGGATTTCCTTCACCATAACAATGTCATGTTACTGCCATGGCCTGCAGTTTCTCCAGATCTCTCCCCAATAGAGCATGCGTGGGATGAAATGGAGCGCCGTCTGCGTCGTCTTCCACATCCTCCAGATAACGTCCGTGACTTGGCACAGGATTTGAGGAGGATATGGCAGGCCATTCCCCAGGCCTTCCATGCCCATTTGGTGGACTCCATGCGTCGCCGATGCACTGCTGTGATTCACGCACAGGGTGGCCATGAATAGGGCGGGTGGGTCCTAAGTAGGACCCGGGTACCAACAGTACTACCCGGACCCGTGGTTAATCATATATTGTTTAATGACAAAAACTTACTATAACTCAGTGGTTACACTACAAGTCACTAATGTTCCCATTTCTTTATGATGATGAACACATTCCTTTTGACTTGTAAATGTTTGAGGAAAGATAAAGCTTCAGTCAGCTTCAGCGTACGCATGATTTGATCGTTTCATAAGAGACCATACCTATTATATGGCCTCTGGTTCCATACATGTATCTAAACAGTTTTTGCCAGGGCTACAGTTAAACTATTCCCAATTAGACATTGTGTTCCCAACTCTTGAGACCTACAGTAGGTATCCGGGTGGGACCGGGTAATAGGGGGTTGGGTACCCGGGTAGTAAATTTGGACTCGTCCCAGCCCTAATAAATATGAAACAAATTCATCCTAATCTGTCATGCCAGGTCATCTGCTACACACAGATAATTCCCAAACATGCAACGACGCAAGCATCTTCTAACTACAATGTTAACCACTGCAGCAGTGAAACGACTCCCCAATAGTTCATGCTAACAACTGGAGTGCTTCTGTAATTGAATAATTCTCCCATCAGTAAATTCTTCTGAGGCAACAAGAATGTCAGTCCAGCAATTCCAACAATCAGTCTGCAGAGCGCTGGCACCACGGCGAACACTGGCGGCACGTGGCGTGACTCACAGGCAGAAGCAAGGGGAGACAACTCTTCCAGCAACAATTAGCAGCACACACACACAAATCAATAAACAGTTATGAAAAGTTTAAGAGCAGGTGATTAACCTCATGCTTGCATATTCAGGAAACGAATGCATGTTTTAATGTTAAGAATGTGTTGCAACACTCTAAAATAGAGGACTGTTATTGGTGGTCAGGGCTGGAGCCTGGTTCACATCTGGACAAATGAAACTTGATTCTATCAATCAGTTAGTTTATTCGGTAATAAGGCCTCGGGCCCACTGACAGACATACACAATTTAGATTCACATCAAGTGAGTAAGTTTGGTTTTATGCTGCTTTTAGCAATATTCCAGTGATATCATGGCAGGGGACACCAGAAATGGGCGTCACACATTGTACCCATGTCCGGAATCGAACCCGGGTCTTAGACGTGACAAGCAAAAGCTTTAACCACTAGGCTACCCGACCGCCCCTTCACATCAAATGCTGCATGAAATAATATTTACAGGTAAGAAGAACGAAGATACATAGCATCTTTAACATAATTGGCTCAGTTTACATCAGAAAATTTTAACATTCTAACTAGTATTTGTTTACGATTATTACCAGTAATAAAGTCTAAATAAGGGAAATATTTTGAGCGAATATCTTCATAAATAGGGCAAACAATAATGAAATGAATTTCATTTTCAACTGCCCTTAACTTGCACAATGGACAAAACCGGAGTGTCTTATCGATGCCATCGCTCCTTCCTGTGTTATGCATAATTCCCAGTTCAAATTCTGTTCAAGGTAAGTTTCTATCCTACAACATATGACAAATAAGTAGTTTGTTCATGAACAATGCAGAGCTCCAGGTAAGCTGTGAATTTGCAGAAAATATGCAAAACATATCTCTACTATCCAAATAAATTTGACTTGCTTGCATACAAGAATGAGAAAAACTTCAATAGTATATGAAAAGTAGTTACCCTTTTCAACTTGCATACCTGACTTTCAGCACAGATCTTATTTACTGATCGAATGCAGGTCTACCGCTACCTTGACTTTATGCTGCACACTAGGGGCATTGATTTTATGTTGCACACTAGGGACATTGACTTTATGCTGCACACTAGGGACATTGACTTTATGCTGCACAATAGGGGCAAAACACACACACAAATTAAAAGTCACTGAAACAGAATTTTCAGCAGAATTATTCTTAAAGAATGTCAACTCCTTGGTATATAAATCCCCAATAGACTGACCCCAAGAGAGTAAAAATATATTGAAAACCCAAAGATACCCAATACGCTATGTGAAGGGTACCTTGTGAGCAAATACTCAATAGCTAAAAGAATTATCTGAAGCCCTGCAAATATTCCGCAGTTACCATGGTTACAATGTGTGTTACTTAAACCTTCTATTATTCTGCTTGGGAATGCATTATCCTCATAATTTTAGATGATATAAAATGTTTAACTCTAGACACTTGCAAAGTTGGACCTCACTCCTTCCTGGATTGACTTCACTCCTTACCCTAGCTAAGTTAGACCAAGAGTGAAGTCAATCAAGGTAGGAGTGAGGTCTGACATCGCCAGGGTCTTGAGTGAAGACAATCAAGGTAGGAGTGAGGTCTGACATCGCCAGGGTCTAGAGTGAAGTCCACCAAGGCAGGAGGGAGGTCTAACTTGGCCAGGGTCTAGAGTGAAGTCCACCAAGGCAGGAGGGAGGTCTAACTTGGCCAGGGTCTAGAGTGAAGTCCACCTAGACAGGAGTGAGGTCTAACTTAGCCAGGGTCTAGAGTGAAGTCCACCTAGACAGGAGGGAGGTCTAACTTAGCCAGGGTCTAGAGTGAAGTCCACCTAGACAGGAGGGAGGTCTAACTTGGCCAGGGTCTAGAGTGAAGTCCACCAAGGCAGGAGGGAGGTCTAACTTGGCCAGGGTCTAGAGTGAAGTCCACCTAGACAGGAGTGAGGTCTAACTTAGCCAGGGTCTAGAGTGAAGTCCACCAAGGCAGGAGGGAGGTCTAACTTGGCCAGGGTATAGAGTGAAGTCCACCTAGACAGGAGTGAGGTCTAACTTAGCCAGGGTCTAGAGTGAAGTCAACCTAGACAGGAGGGAGGTCTAACTTGGCCAGGGTCTAGAGTGAAGTCCACCTAGACAGGAGGGAGGTCTAACTTGGCCAGGGTCTAGAGTGAAGTCCACCTAGACAGGAGTGAGGTCTAACTTAGCCAGGGTCTAGAGTGAAGTCAACCTAGACAGGAGGGAGGTCTAACTTAGCCAGGGTCTAGAGTGAAGTCCACCTAGACAGGAGGGAGGTCTAACTTAGCCAGGGTCTAGAGTGAAGTCCACCTAGACAGGAGTGAGGTCTAACTTGGCCAGGGTCTAGAGTGAAGTCCACCAAGGCAGGAGGGAGGTCTAACTTGGCCAGGGTCTAGAGTGAAGTCCACCTAGACAGGAGTGAGGTCTAACTTAGCCAGGGTCTAGAGTGAAGTCAACCTAGACAGGAGGGAGGTCTAACTTGGCCAGGGTCTAGAGTGAAGTCCACCTAGACAGGAGGGAGGTCTAACTTGGCCAGGGTCTAGAGTGAAGTCCACCTAGACAGGAGTGAGGTCTAACTTAGCCAGGGTCTAGAGTGAAGTCAACCTAGACAGGAGGGAGGTCTAACTTAGCCAGGGTCTAGAGTGAAGTCCACCTAGACAGGAGGGAGGTCTAACTTAGCCAGGGTCTAGAGTGAAGTGCACCTAGACAGGAGGGAGGTCTAACTTGGCCAGGGTCTAGAGTGAAGTCCACCAAGGCAGGAGGGAGGTCTAACTTGGCCAGGGTCTAGAGTGAAGTCCACCTAGACAGGAGTGAGGTCTAACTTGGCCAGGGTCTAGAGTGAAGTCCACCTAGACAGGAGTGAGGTCTAACTTAGCCAGGGTCTAGAGTGAAGTCAACCTAGACAGGAGGGAGGTCTAACTTGGCCAGGGTCTAGAGTGAAGTCCACCTGGACAGGAGGGAGGTCTAACTTGGCCAGGGTCTAGAGTGAAGTCCACCTAGACAGGAGTGAGGTCTAACTTAGCCAGGGTCTAGGGTGAAGTCCACTTAGCCAGGTCTAGAATGAAGTCCACCTAGACAGGAGTGAGGTCTAACTTAGCCAGGGTCTAGGGTGAAGTCCACTTAGCCAGGGTCTAGAGTGAAGTCCACCTAGACAGGAGGGAGGTCTAACTTAGCCAGGGTCTAGGGTGAAGTCCACTTAGCCAGGTCTAGAATGAAGTCCACCTAGACAGGAGGGAGGTCTAACTTGGCCAGGGTCTAGGATGTCCGCCTAGACAGGAGGGAGGTCTAACTTGGCCAGGGTCTAGGATGTCCGCCTAGACAGGAGGGAGGTCTAACCTAGCAAGGGTCTAGAGTGAAGTCCACCTAGACAGGAGGGAGGTCTTACTTGGCCAGGGTCTAGAGTGAAGTCCGCCTAGACAGGAGGGAGGTCTAACTTAGCCAGGGTCTAGAGTGAAGTCCACCAAGGCAGGAGTGAGGTCTAACTTAGCCAGGGTCTAGAGTGAAGTCCGCCTAGACAGGAGGGAGGTCTAACTTAGCCAGGGTCTAGAGTGAAGTCCACCCGGGGGGGGGGGGGGGGGGGGGGGGGGGTCTAACTTAGCCAGGGTCTAGAGTGAAGTCCACCTAGACAGGAGTGAGGTCTAACTTAGCCAGGGTCTAGAGTGAAGTCCACCTAGACAGGAGGGAGGTCTAACTTAGCCAGGGTCTAGAGTGAAGTCCACCCAGGGGGGGGGTCTAACTTAGCCAGGGTCTAGAGTGAAGTCAACCTAGACAGGAGTGAGGTCTAACTTAGCCAGGGTCTAGAGTGAAGTCCACCTAGACAGGAGGGAGGTCTAACTTAGCCAGGGTCTAGAGTGAAGTCCACCTAGGCAGGAGGGAGGTCTAACTTGGCCAGGGTCTAGAGTGAAGTCCACCTAGGCAGGAGGGAGGTCTAACTTGGCCAGGGTCTAGAGTGAAGTCAACCTAGACAGGAGTGAGGTCTAACTTGGCCAGGGTCTAGAGTGAAGTCCACCTAGGCAGGAGGGAGGTCTAACTTGGCCAGGGTCTAGAGTGAAGTCCACCTAGGCAGGAGGGAGGTCTAACTTGGCCAGGGTCTAGAGTGAAGTCAACTGAGGGAGGGAGGATGGGAGAGAGAGAGACACACACACACACACAAACACCGATGGACCCAGCTTACTCACACAGATTGCCCAAGCCTTCTCACACTTGCTGACCCATACACTCTGACCTAGCCACACACAATGACCCATGAACAGTTATATTTAACACCAGCGGGTGTTTGGGTATTTCCACCAGACAAAATATACAGCAGTGAAGAGGCAGTCCATACAACATGCTGACTGAGAAGTGGTTTTGCGTGCTATTCAACATGCTAAATACCGTCATGACTGAAATCAAAGGCAGGTGTATACTCACTCTTTCCCATAGAAGGTTGGTCTGTTGGGTACCTGCAAACAAAGAGACAAGTGTTTAGGGACGACCTTGCGAATCAGTTGCTATACAGCGCAGACATGTGTTTGCATATCACACAGTATCAGAATGAACCATAATGTGTGCTTTGTATAATCATTCGAAATTCAGTTAAATGGACTAATTATTTGGTCAGTCTCACAACTCTGTGTGACCTTATTGGGGTGAACACAAGCCAGCAGCACACGACATAATCTGATGCAAGACTTACAGAGGTGTGTTCCAACTCTTTCAAACATGTTAGGAGTGAGCGTTTACAGACACTTTCACCAATCATCCTGTCACATCAAAACCAAAACTGAAGAATAAAACCCTAGTCTTTGATGAGAAGACACATCAACCACTTGGCCACCCAACCAGGTCTAAGATGTGGTACAGTACCAGACCATGAGTTGGTCTGATGCTGTTTTATAACATCTTCCCTGGGCAAGAGAGTAAAGTGACTGTAAAAGTCCAGTTTCCACCCGTGCCAAGCTAGGCCGGAATTTCTGGTTTTCAATCCAGGGTTTTCACAGTGAAGATGATCTGATAGATAATCAAGATCTATTTTGTTATAAAACAGGTCTAACTTCACAAAGTGCATCAAATCATGTGAGCACCTTGGTTAAAACATGAAAAGATTTGGAAAATTTCTGTTGATGCTAAGATGAGGGTATACATGCTTTGCAAATCCTGCAGTCTGCATGGCAGTTTACGAACTTGATGTTGATTTGGTTACGTATTTTTGATAGGACAATGCATCATGATGCATGGACTCGTTAGTCCTACCAAAGTACAACTCCACAATTCCAGCCTAGTTCGGTAAGGCTGGAAACTGGACTTGTATAGTCAGTTAACTCCCTTGCCTCAGGAAGCTGGTTTTATAATTGCAACACAGCATATTCCTAGTAGGGTACAATCCACTGCCTTCATCCATTGTGGCCATGACAATTATGGGCACCAAGTTCCCCTAGTGAAATCAAGTGTTTCACCGAACGTAAATACAGAATGATTTGAATACACATAAGGGTGACATGTAAAATAAACTGTTAACTACAAATGTCTGCTGGCATGTACAAGCTGTTTCAAGATACTGTTTCATCAATTAATGTATATGTGTACTCTATACAGTTACATCTGTGATAATGGTAAATAAGTCCCACGACCCATGGTACACATGTAATATTTTGTTTTGTTTGCTGTTTAACGCCTCACTCCAGTAAAGCAATATTCCAGCTGTATGACCGCGGTCTGTAAATAATCGAGTCTGGATCGGACAATCCAGTGATTGACATCATGAGCATCGATCCAAGCATTTGGGATAGGATGACATGCATCAACCAAGTCAGCAAGCCTGACCACCCGATCCCATTAGTTGCCTAAGCATAGTTGTGATTGACATCATGAGCATCGATCCACAGAATTGGAATGCCATGACATGCATCAACCAAATCAGTGAGCCTGACCACCCGTTCTCGTCAGTCACCTTTTACTACAAGCATAGTTGCCTTTTACGGCAAGAATGGGTTGCTGAAGACCTATTCCAGCCTGGATCTTACACACATGTTATAACGTGTATGTATCCCACACAGTGGTACTGCATCTGTGAAAGCATGGTACATAACTCTAACAATGGCCCATGGCACACATGTTATAACGTGTATGTATCCCACACAGTGGTACCACATCTGCGAAAGCATGGTACATAACTCTAACAATGGCCCATGGCACACATGTTATAACGTGTATGTATCCCACACAGTGGTACCACATCTGCGAAAGCATGGTACATAACTCTAACAATGGCCCATGGCACACACGCAATAACGTGCATGTATCCCACACAGTGGTACCGCATCTGCGAAAGCATGGTACATAACTCTAACAATGGCCCATGGCACACATGCAATAACGTGTATGTATCCCACACAGTGGTACTGCATCTGTGAAAGCATGGTACATGGCACACATGTGAGTGAGTGAGTGAGTTGGGTTTAAAGCAGCTTTTAACATTATTCCAGTTATATCACGGCGTGTCAGCTTCATGTGGGAGGAAAGCCCAAAGTGATGCAGGCCTAAGACGTTTACCACTTCGGTGAAACCCACGAGCACGGGTATTGTGCTGACAAACCTAGAAACATAATTGGGGTGAACCGGGATTCGAACCCACAATCATAGGTTTCTGGCGTGCCCAAGGGACGAAACTCTGCACAGCGTATCGCGGCGCCTTAGACGACTGGGCAGCCCGTGCCCCCGGCACACATGTAATAACATGTATGTATCCCACACAGTGGTACAGCATCTGTGAAAGCATGGTACATAACTCTAACAATGGCCCATGGCACACATGTAATAACGTGTATGTATCCCACACAGTGGTACTGCATCTGTGAAAGCATGGTACATAACTCTAACAATGGCCCATGGCACACATGTTATAACGTGTATGTATCCCTCACAGTGGTACTGCATCTGTGAAAGCATGGTACATAACTCTAACAATGGCCCATGGCACACATGTTATAACGTGTATGTATCCCACACAGTGGTACCGCATCTGTGAAAGCATGGTACATAACTCTAACAATGGCCCATGGCACACATGTTATAACGTGTATGTATCCCTCACAGTGGTACTGCATCTGTGAAAGCATGGTACATAACTCTAACAATGGCCCATGGCACACATGTTATAACGTGTATGTATCCCACACAGTGGTACTGCATCTGTGAAAGCATGGTACATAACTCAAACAATGGCCCATGGCACACATGTTATAATGTGTATGTATCCCACACAGTGGTACTGCCTCTGTGAAAGCATGGTACATAACTCTAACAATGGCCCATGGCACACATGTTATAACGTGTTTGTATCCCACACAGTGGTACCGCATCTGTGAAAGCATGGTACATAACTCTAACAATGACCCATGGCACACATGTAATAACGTGTATGTATCCCACACAGTGGTACTGCATCTGTGAAAGCATGGTACATGGCACACATGTGAGTGAGTGAGTGAGTGAGTGAGTGAGTGAGTGAGTGAGTGAGTGAGTGAGTGAGTGAGTGAGTGAGTGAGTGAGTTGGGTTTAAAGCCGCTTTTAACATTATTCCAGTTATATCACGGCGTGTCAGCTTCATGTGGGAGGAAAGCCCAAAGTGCTGCAGGCCTAAGACGTTTACCACTTCGGTGAAACCCACGAGCACGGGTATGGTGCTGACAAACCTAGAAACATAATTGGGGTGAACCGGGATTCGAACCCACAATCATAGGTTTCTGGCGTGCCCAAGGGACGCAACTCTGCACAGCGAATCGCGGCGCCTTAGACGACTGGGCCACCTGTGCCCCCGGCACACATTTAATAACATGTATGTATCCCACACAGTGGTACTGCATCTGTGAAAGCATGGTACATAACTCTAACAATGGCCCATGGCACACATGTTATAACGTGTATGTATCCCACACAGTGGTACCACATCTGCGAAAGCATGGTACATAACTCTAACAATGGCCCATGGCACACATGTTATAACGTGCATGTATCCCACACAGTGGTACCGCATCTGCGAAAGCATGGTACATAACTCTAACAATGGCCCATGGCACACATGCAATAATGTGTATGTATCCCACACAGTGGTACTGCATCTGTGAAAGCATGGTACATAACTCTAACAATGGCCCATGGCACACATGTAATAACGTGTATGTATCCCACACAGTGGTACCGCATCTGTGAAAGCATGGTACATAACTCTAACAATGGCCCATGGCACACATGTAATAATGTGTATGTATCCCACACAGTGGTACCGCATCTGTGAAAGCATGGTACATAACTCTAACAATGGCCCATGGCACACATGTAATAACGTGTATGTATCCCACACAGTGGTACCGCATCTGTGAAAGCATGGTACATAACTCTAACAATGGCCCATGGCACACATGTAATAACGTGAATATGTACACATGATCGTATCTCACCTCTCTCTGACAGATTATCCGGCGTGGTTTAGGAGCTTCTTGCTGAAGGGTATATACTGAAAGAACAAAGTTAGATCACACATCTTATTATTAGCATTTTTTTATAAAAAAATTCAGCGATGAGTTCATTCACTCAGTGTCTTATTTCCTATTGGGACCCCTATACACGCCCACTCACTCACTCACAACATCAATTCAATCAAGTTAAGAGAGTGAGTTGTGATTTATGTCATGCTTCCTGATAATCCACTCACCAGAAATAACATGGTGGGTAACACCAAGAATGGACTTCACACGTCGTAGCCATGAAGGGATTCAATCCTGCTACTTCAGTGTGAAGAACCAACACTTCAACCACTGGACATGCCACTCGCCCACCCATTGCTGACATCACTCAATGAGCCAATGACTGTACATGATAAACTGATTATACTTGATGGGAGTTCCTTGTCATGTTAGTGCTGTTAGAGGTGGACGTAGTAACATGCCACACGATAAGGTTACATAGCAATGTTCATATAAAACCAATTACAAATTGTTTGTACAATGTAGTCATTTTCATTCCATATTTGACTGTAATATTTGTTGAAATGGAATTACTGTTTTATGTATTTGCCCTTTTTTTCATCCTGCCAAAAAGCTGACAGCATATTTCACCGAACAAGGTCCCACTATTAATAATTTTGCATCAATGTTTAATAAACAAACACACAAACAAACAAGATTTTGTGTAGAAATGTGAAGAACCTCATTTTTCAATACCGGCCTCCTTGTAATGGATGAGAAATCTAAACCTTAGAAGAAAAAACGTGTGCCTATCCAGGTCATGTAAATATGTCATCATTTGAACACATGTATTCCATGTCTTGGTGAGTTACCAGAAACACGAAAATATGATGCTACAATCTAGCAGGCGAATGATCCCAAGGACAACGTGAGGAGATCTCCTCTATCCACCATGTTGGAGCAGCTACTACCACATCATGGGCCTGTGTATTGCAACACACATACATCCTGCTGTGCTGTGTGGGAGCAGGACATCGTGCCTATCAGATATATATCTACATCCTTGTTCGCTGTGCGTAATGAAAACAACGCTAGATCTCATAAACAGATTTAAACTTTTAATACTGTTGTCAAAATAACACCAAAAATATTTTTTTCTGTCAAACGTTGCCATAGTTTATGAGCTACAGAATAAATACCTAGCACTCTTGAGTGACAAAATCTACAACACTAAGGGCCAACTCGTGAATCTGTGTTAAGCATGTTAAGTGGATTATTGTCTTCATTATTAGAAAACATCCACACCAACTCATAACAACAACATGTTTACTGAGGAAATATGTTGAAGCACTTCGCCTGTTATAATGATGACATGATATTCACACAAGCATATCATATATATATATATGATATTCGTGGTGAAGTATCCATGTAAAGAGATATCATCAGAGTTCGAATGATTTCCTTATCAGTTTCCAGAGATAATTAAAGCTAATGTTCTTGCTTGTCTAATAATATTAATAAATTATACATAATGCATGAACTGGATATTTCAATCATCTCAATAGGTGAAAAAATAATAACATTGGCAATTCATTTGTAAAAACAATCTTTATTTAAAAAAGGGCATAAAAAATCTTGTTATTCTGATTAAATGTTTTCCATTTTTTTTTTTTTTAGGTCAGCAGATCTTTCAAGCAATCAAACAAACATGTAAGACCTAAGTAGTGTCTAACTAATGTGTGAAAGAGGTCATCCACAAGGAAATGTCAAACGTCCTTCATGAATGTTACACATTTCAGATTGGCAGACTTATGTTGAACACAGTTGAATGAGTGAGTGAGTGAGTATGGTTTTACGCTGCTTTTAGCAATATTCCAGCAATATCAAGGCGGGGGACACCAGAAATGGGCTTCACATATTGTACCTATGTCAGGAATCGAACCAGGGTCTTCAGCGTGACAAGCGAACACTATAACCACTAGGCTATCCTACCGCCCCCTCCAGTTATATCGCAGCGTGTCACAGCTTGGTGCCAGACGAACGCCTGAAGTGATGCAGGTCTTATACGTTTACCACTTCTGTGCTGAAAAACCTAAAAAAATAATTAGAACAAACCAGGATTCGAACCCAGGATGATAGGTTGCTTGTGTGCCTAAGGGACGCAACTCAAATAGTGGACATCAAATAGTGGCACCTTAGATGACTGGGCCACCAGTGCCCCCTGTCCAACATAAACACGTTTCACACAAATACAGTACACCATAAATGTGTATACATTCACAGTGAGTGAGTGAGTGAGTTGGGTTTTACACCACTTTTAGCAATATCCCATCAACGTCATGGCACTGGACACTAGAAATGGGCTCTAGACGTTGTACCAATGTGGAACCAGCCAATCCGGTGATTGACATTATGACTAATATGAGCAACGATCCACGACGTTGGGGTACAATGACATGCAATCTACCAACACGTCAAGTCTGACCACCAATCCATTAGGTCACCACTTATCACCTGCATAGGATGCTGGGGACCAAGGATCCCAACCTATGGGCTATAAGGACCAACGGGATATAAGGACTCAATGGGATATAAGGACCCACAGGGTATAAGGACCCACAGGATATAAGGACCCACAGGATATAAGGACCCATGGGATATAAGGACCCACGGGATATAAGGACCCATGGGATATAAGGACCCATGGGATATAAGGACCCAACCCATGGGATATAAGGACCCAACCCATGGGATATAAGGACCCATGGGATATAAGGACCCACAGGGTATAAGGACCCACAAAAGGACAAGTAAGAATGAAGAAAGTTGCAGCAATACTCACAGTAGGTCTTCCATGTTGGCAGTGGCTGACTCTCCTCTCCATCTGCAAGAATAGTAACATAATCATAATTACGTTGTCGCCGACGGTTACGGGTCGTGCTCTTTCTGCGACACACAGATTCCAAATCCATAGTGCTTGTCGATGGCAGTACCTTCACGTAGCTATATGATCCATTACAAATCAGTGTCGGTACAATTTCCCACAAAACTATTCCACAACGAAGATCTCAGTACGTTCTAACAGAGTCAACTGCCCAGTTGTCAACAATCTACACACACGTTTTCCAACACATCCACAACTTGTCACAGCTAATAAAATCCAAATTCCTTGAGCCTGGTATCTCTCCAGCTGTGTGTGTGGAAGTACATGTACAAGCATGAAGAGAGGAAGCAACACCACATAAGAAGCCAGGAGTTTCCTGGTTGAGGTGCACAGTGATCACTACTAATACACTCAGTCATGAAATACGTCTCGTGTTTCGACCCATGACCCTGTCCACAATGCTGGATCACAATGGCGAGATTTACTTCCTGCATGCCAACCTAAGTGCTCTCTACACCATCAGAGACTGTCGGTCAATCGTGTCTCACAAACATAAAGAAGTACAGTTTAAGAAGATGTTTGTGAAACAGGTCAAGTGTGAGCTGAATTAAAAATCCTGTTTCACTTCCTGATAAAGATGAAATGTTTTAACCATTTATATCCAACCTAGAAATTTACTTATATTCTTACAAACACTTGTGCAAAATATTTTTTCTTAAGAACAATATCTGTGTTCAGTGAAGTAATACTTGCCCTAGTTTTAACCTTATATAAAGATTTTGAACTCGAGTGACACAAAGCTTACTGGAGTTGTGAAAATATATTTGTGAGGGATTGTTGCTGTTGTTAGTGTTCAAGGGGTCAAGAATGCTCAGCTTCCTGCCTTCCCAGAGTGCACTGCTTCACTTCAAGGATTACCCAGCTGGCCATCATCGGCAGGACTTCCTCTCCTGCGGTAACCCTCCCCTGCGGTGACCTCCACTGCGGCAACTACACCCCTATGGTCTACAACAGCAACAACTACGCCAGGCTGAACACAGGTATACTGTCATGCTTCGCCGAACACACAATAAAAGTGGTTTGTACATTGAAACTCAGACCTCAATCGTGACTGAAACTTATTTTACATTTTAAATTTATGCATCATACACATTTGTATTTGTCCATTTAATCCTGTATATAGGATCACAGTGTCACTGTGTGTCACTGTGAGTCATTTGTAAGGGAGGTCTTTAGAAACCCTTGACTATCAGATCCCCACCCCTTCCCCTGATGTACTTGTGCATGACAGGGTTGACAAGGAAATATGTTGGATTAATTGTAACACAAACATACCATCCTTATCACTGACAGAATCTGCTGGTAATATTACTGTTGTTCAAGCTGGTGATATTTATTTGATGCTCAGTCACAAGTGCTTCAGATCAAATAATTAAACCTGTTGATATATGATCAATGTCGTTTGGTTGTTTTGACTTAAAGTTATGTGATTTGTTCAGAATTCATGAATGGTAAAAAATATTTTGGTATATTCATATGATTATAGCAAGAAGAATTAAACAATGGTCAGTTATCCTTTCATTTGTGTATTAGCCGGATAACCTAATATTTGGCCTAAACTTCAATGTAGACGGCAGAACAATTTGTTTTACAAAATTTTAACTTGTCAAATTGGCACTGCTACTACTGAATGAAAAATGGCAAGATACCAAAAGATAATTGATTAAGTTGTAAAACAGTGTCAGCTAAAACAAATTGTCAAAAGTAATTATTTCTTTTTTCTAATTCCATAAAGCAAGTAAATAAAAACATAGGCCCTTATTAATCAGTCTCTGGTTGTTGGATTCTGTAGGCTGATGAGGCTTGTTCTTCATCCAGCACTACACCGACAGAGTGCCTCAGTGCCAAGGGAAGCATGGTGCCCTCTTGTCAAGGGAAGCAACTCAGTGAGAGAGAACAGCAGTGAAATGTACTTTGTTCGTCTCTACTCTTATCAACAACTTGACATTGCAACCATGTCAACATGGCCTGTCATCTGATACAGGCTTACTCTTGTCTTAATTCCCTGACTAGGTGTCAAGGAGAGTGAATGGATTAACCTCCATCCGAAATCATGCATGCACTCCTCCACCCCTAATTGCCCATGGTTTCAGGTAGACAGGTAGAATTCACTACCAGGACTAGCTATGTCCTTATAGGCACACATAACATAAGGGTGTGGAAACTATACTATCATGCCATCCCTAGACCAAATCCCCCCCCCCCCCCCCCCCCCAGCTAGCAACTACGACAACTACCCCCTGCAGGCTAGCAACTAGGCCAACTCTCCCCCTGCAGGCTAGCAACTAGGGCAACTTTCCCCTGCAGAATAGCAACTAGGCCAACTCTCCCCCTGCAGGCTAGCAACTAGGGCAACTTTCCCCTGCAGAATAGCAACTAGGCCAACTCTCACCCTGCAGAATAGCAACTAGGCCAACTCTCACCCTGTAGAATAGCAACTAGGCCAACTCTCAACCTGCAGAATAGCAACTAGGCCAACTCTCACCCTGCAGAATAGCAACTAGGCCAACTCTCACCCTGCAGAATAGCAACTAGGCCAACTCTCACCCTGCAGAATAGAAACTACGCCAACTCTCTGCCTGCAGAATAGCAACTAGGCCAACTCTCACCCTGCAGAATAGCAACTAGGCCAACTCTCACCCTGCAGAATAGCAACTAGGCCAACTTTCCCCCCGCAGAATAGCAACTAGGCCAACTCTCACCCTGCAGAATAGAAACTAGGCCAACTCTCACCCTGCAGAATAGCAACTAGGCCAACTCTCACCCTGCAGAATAGAAACTACGCCAACTCTCACCCTGCAGAATAGCAACTAGGCCAACTCTCACCCTGCAGAATAGCAACTACGCCAACTCTCACCCTGCAGAATAGCAACTAGGCCAATTCTCCCCTCCCCCAAACTCTCCCCCTGCAGAGTAGCAACTATGCCAACTACCCACCCCCTCCCCTCTGCAGGTTAGTAACTAGGCCAACTCACCCCCTGCAGGCTAGCAACTCAGCCAACTTTTTTTTTATAAAATGTTTGTCAAAGCAAGTTTTTTTTATGTTCTTATATAAACATCATCAGTCATGTTAGTTAAAGAGAAGACTAATACATGTTCATCATGATAAAGCATAAATTATATCCTGAAATAAATACACACATAGTATTTTCCCGCACCCCCGTCCCCTCCTGAGCATCCAAGTCAGCATGGAGTGAGCAAGTCAAGAGATGAATACAAATTTATTTTTTTTAAAAAAGTCAAGAGATGATGTTGAAATATAATCTCTCACCATTGGAGTTTGGGACTACAGGTCAAGTGTCTCATGGGAGACAACTCTTCAAGTCAACAACTTGTATTGAGCCATGGCTCCTCTATGTTTGTCCATGCATTAACCAACTGAACTGATCAGGGCTTTCATCATGTTCATTGCTCAAAATAGAACCATCAACATAGGCAAATAATATTTATGTAATTGATAAATATGCTTGTGTTGGTCCAATATGCATTATGCAGGGGTGACTCACACATTGTTGCACAGTTTAGCATTTAGGTGTTGAATATCATTACAAATACAGTTATCAAAACAATGCTGTTTAAACCTTTAAAGTTTGTTTTTTTAATTTTGGCTATGGTCAGAGGTTAGAGCACTTAGACCCTGGTGTCTGATCTTTGAAATGGTTAGTTCGAGTCAAGATACCAGGTGCTCTAACCCATACTAAGACCCACGACATGGTAGGGCTGCCTATACACCATACAGTCCAATAGTCATTAACTAAATATCGGAGAAGTAACTTTGAGCAAATATGCAAACAGCTCTGACAGAAATCAACACATTTCACTTCACTGTAAGTGGTGACACATTATAATGATTAAGGCAAGGATTACTTTGTGGACATTTAAACAAAACAAAAATGTTTGGCAATTGACAATACTGATAACAAGCCTGTTTCAGTAAATAAATCTATATTTTATTTATATGTGAGATATTAACGATGACACAATTTTCATATCGATAATCATTAACATTTCTTCCCAAAGACGATAATTCCCATTATGGATATTTTTAGCCAGCTGTACTACATAGTGTCAACACACTATCTCCACAATACCAGGTACTTAGGCTGTGACGAGTCCAAATTTACTACCTGCCTACCCGACCATACCCAGGTACCTGCTACAGGTCTAGAGAGTTGTGTACAAAATGTTTGATTAGGAATCTTTTTACCACAGCCCTGGCAAAAACTGTTTAGATACATTATGAGTATTTATGACATAGTAACTTGGAACAATAAAGAGAAAGAAAACTAGTTTATACTTTATGGCACTGAATGCTATGCTAAAATACTTCAGAATACAGGACAATAACAACCTTAACAAAATCCAAATTTTATACATAATAATGATTTTTCCAAATTTGCCAGCCAAGGGTACTTGGTTAAGAATCCTGATAAATCCCTGGAAAGTGATAACAAATAAAATATAAATCGCAGTATGTAAACTGTAATTGCATTGTCCGGTACAAAGTTCACAGAGAAGTATACACAGCAGTATTGCATGACAGCCTCTACGGATGGACTTTAGCTGTAGTGCTGGTGCACCAAGTATGAGACAGCTGCATGTTTGGTCAAGTCTTAGTGTGTTATTGTGCAGAGTTTTATGGCAGGGGTTGACAAGACCGAAACGGCAGTGTGTCCTCCAAGGTTGCCTTGTCTCATGGAAAGGGGAAATGAGACAGGGAAGTGACTCCAAGTCTAAATGGGAATAAGTTGAAAGATATACAACTAAATATTCAATAAGATCCTGTTTTTCTCATGACTTCCTGTTTGGTAGAAGTGGTGATTTCAGGGTTCTTCAAACTCAAACTTGGCATAAAGGAATTGATATTCTAGCAACACATTCCCTATGATCCAAGTGGCCAGAAATTGTCGACAGGAGATATGCTTTCAGACCTAACATAACCTAACAGTACACTGGGTATCAGGAACAGGCATGTGTGCGGTCACTTAAATAGTAAAGGAGTGAAAATTCTTAGTAAAATTTCACAATTTAGCTTTAAGTCCTTATAATGCTATCACTTTTTAGAAACAAACATTTTTCATGCAAATTTCTACCACTGCAAATAACAGTAATATCACCAGTGTATTAAGTGTTTTTATCTGTTAGTTTACAGATTTGTTTTTCAAAACTGTAGGCATGGTAGGGTCAGTGGTAAAAAAATAAATATATAAAAGAATGTCAGTCGTAATCATTTGTGTCATCATGGTCATTGATATGCACCATAAACAATAATATCTGGACAAGTCACACAATAAGTAAATATGAATAGTTGATTATGTTCATTGTGCTATAGAAAAGGATCATAAGACAATACATGAAACCTTTGACTGACCTAGTTAGCAAACATGACTAACACACTATTTCAAGTATATAATATACACAGCATAACATCTGTTTCAACCAGGAAGTTCTTGTGTTACAATCTTGAATGCCATCAAACAGTTGTGATAATTGTCCTGCAATAATGAACTAGTTGGATGAATATAGTCATTTATAACACATTGCAATAGGCAATTACAGGACTAATGCTGTCAGTTGTGACCTACATGTTACCATAATTGCAATGCCTCA